ACGAGCGAGAGAGAGCGAGAGAGCGAGAAAGCGCCAGAGATAACGAGCGAGAGAGAGAGAGAGAGAGAGAGAGAGAGAGAGAGAGAGAAAGAGGGCGAGAGAGAACGCGGGGTCAGCTAGTACATAACCTTGGAGAGCACCATTTATCATGCTTTTCAGGTCCCCTTCCAAAGCTCACTACGCTCCAAATCGATCAACTACGACATTCTGAGGTCCTATCGTCATCACCGGAAGCTGAGGAGGCTAAGAATGATGGGTTCTGGCGAGGTATGCTCGTGCTCAAATGCGCATCGAAAATGGCAAGAGGCCTAATTCGGGCGTATTGCGATTTCCTTGCTGTCCCCATACCTTTAATTTGAGCCTCGACGCCGCCTTCGACTGCGTCGCGTCAAGCGCTCCCCACATCGATTGATCGCAGATATGGTGCAGAAGAGTGACTCGAAAAAGTTTGAGGTAAGAGAAAGAGAGACAGTGAGAGCGTGAGAGAGCGAGAGAGCGAGAGAAAACGATATAGCGAGACAGAGAGAGAGGAAGAGAGAGACAGAGAGAGCGAGAGAGAGCGAAAGATAGAGAGAACGTTATAGAGAGACAGAGAGAGAGACAGAGAGCGAGAGAAAGAAAGAGCGGGAGAGAGGACGAGATGAAACTCAATAATTTTAGGTGAAATCTATGGCCAAAATTCCCGCCTTACTGCAAGAAAAGAAGAGCCCGGTCCAGTCGATCGCACGCCAGATTATGAAAGCTGTGAGAGGGGAGAATGGGACTGATTCGGCACCTGGTAGGTGTTTACACTTGCTTTGAGTTTTCGAGCTTGAATTTGATGAAATTTGTAAAATTTGGTAGTAATTAACCAAAAGAAAAGGTATTCTCGGGTGTTTAAACGTACGAAAAGCACACAAACAATTGGAAATATACGATGTTTCAATGCCGAGATGGTTTTACTTATTCTAGTTTTCCATGTAAAGAACCAGAAAAATGCACTGTAATTTTCTGCATCGATTTATGTAGCTTTTAAGCATTCGGAAAGCCCGAAAATGCGTAAAACTGCGTGAACTACGTTATAAGCCTCTTCACGCCCTATTTCAGGCACCTGGACGCAGAGCTACCAAAATATGCTCAAACTCAAGAAGCAGCTCGACAAACAGGCCAAGGAGCCCGGGGCGAAAGTGTACGATTTGAAGATGTACGATCTGGTGCAGGGTAGGGACACGCCGTCGGAAGATATCTGGGAGAGGGTAAGGTTGACTTAAAACGTCTTGTAAAGCCTCAAATTTTAGTCAAAACAGCCCGGCTTCTTGCAAGAAGCCTACGGACTGATTGCTCGCATTAATGCGCAGGGGGATAGTCATAATCAGAAGTTCTTGTCGCCAAGGTTAGTGATTTTTGCTGATAGCTTCTCTCGCTCTCTCCCGATCTCACTCTGCCATTACCACACTCTCTCGTTCTCTCTCTCTATCTGTCTATCTCTCGCCCGCTTTCTCGATATATCGCTCGTCCTCCAGATGTCTCTCGCTCTGTCTCTCTCTCTCTCTCTCTCTCTCTGTGTCTCTCTCTCTCTCTCTCTCTTTAACATTACCGGCAAGTCCAGTATTTCCAGATTCGCTTCCATCATGCCTGACAAATACGGTGATTCGGACAAAAAGGCCCTCTCCCCCTCCATTCTCTCATTCTATCGAGATGAAGCTGAGGACCAAATTCTACCGTTGCCAAAGGTATATTGTATTTTGGTGCGCGGTTTAGTATGACTTTTAGTTGCTCGAAGACAGCGGGCTGAAAGATAACGATCGGGACGCCATGCTCGAAGTTGTGATGGAAGTCTCGGGAGCACGAGGGATGGTCGATACTGCGATGAAGGTAATAGAAAGCGAGAGAGAGAGAGGGAGCGAGAGAGAGAGCGAGAGAGAAAGAGTGATCGTGAGATAGAGCGAGCCACATGAGCTTGAGCATGCGCGAGTTAGCATGAGCACGACCACCAGAGTCAGAGGAACAGTCCCCTTCATTCAATTTACAGACGATGAAAAGTATGCACATGTTTGGCCTTGACGAAGAGTTCAGGGACGTCACCGACAAAATTCAGGACATCTTCAAGGCGTTAACCGGCAGTTTTACTGGGTATTTTTTTGATTAATTAATGTGACGTTTTATGTATTTTGATATATGCTATAATTCTATTTTCAATACGATAATCACAAATCCCAGGCGCCAGAAAAAGGAGATGAAACGCCGTGGCTACACATTTGCACACCCCGAACAGCTCGAGAAATTCCACGAAGCGCAAGGTAGGTGGATTCAGATTGACAAGTGCTTAGCGGACTGTAGCGCACTGTAGCGTAGCGTCATCAGAAATTTATTTTTTAGGCATCAAGGACCGAGAGCACGGCTTCAACTACGATACCTACAAACGATTATCCCGGAAGCAGCGCGAAGAAGCCCTGTGGCTACGCGTCAGACAAATTGCGCGGAACGTTAGCCATCCGGTGGGTGGAAAAGCTTATACGGTATCGTACGCCATGCTACGCAGCATTACGCTTTATTACGTAAAGGTACGCATCGCTACGCCTTTTTACGCGGCATAAAGCAGGGTGTGATGCTACGCAACATTACGCCTCGTCCGCCAAGCTATATACAGGGTGTCCCAATAAAAAAGGTCACGCTGGCATTTTGTCATTTCAAATCCGATCGACCTGAAATTTGGAACAGAGCTGCGGAAGGGAATTTAAAATGTTCACAGAAACTTTCAGCCCGATCGGTACAGTAGTTTTCGAGTTATAGCAAAAATAAACTTTATTTTACGTTTTTAACCTGGATTTCGCCGGAATTGAGCCTTGGAATGTATGGCAAAAATGAAGCGCCGCCCCTTTTTTACCCCAGAAAATTTTTTAATTCGTAAAATTCGTCTTGGAAATAGGTTGTTTAAGTAATTTTAACAAGGTGTTATCATCCCCGATGTTAAGAAGAATGAGGGATTTAGGGCCGAAATTGATGGTAATTGATGCAAAGTCCAAAAAGATTACCGAAAAAATGAAGCAAAGCTATTGAAAAAACAGTATTTTAGTTATAACTCGAGAATTACTGTACCGATCGGGCTGAAAGTTTCTGTGAACATTTTAAATTCCCTTCCGCAGCTCTCTTCCAAATTTCAGATCAAACAGATTTGAAATGGCGAAATGCCAGCGTGACCTTTTTTATTGGGACACCCTGTAAAATTAGGCATCACGCATCGTACGCAACGCTACATAACACTACGAATCGTTACTTAACCGCACGCATCGTACTCCATTCAAAGCATCATACTACTACACCAAGCGCAAGAGCACGCTTAAGAATATGATTCGCTACGTAGTGTTACGCATCGCGAATCCAGCCTAAAAAAAGGCTGCACATCGCTAGCCGACGCTTCGTAAGGATACTCAGGTGTTGAGTGCGCTAATGATCTAAACGTACTATCTTTTGTATAGAGCTGCGTAGCGCTTCGCATTTTTCGTAAATAAACCGCGTAAGGACATCCACCGCTCCGTGACGACACAGTACTTTTGCCCCACGCTACGCAACTGTCCGTAGCGCTAAAAGCCCTACATACCGTTCCGTACGATATGATACCTAGAACTACGCAGCCATACGGGCGTCACGTATTGGTCCCGAAAAACTGCGTAAAGTCGCGTAGTGGTACGCTACGCTATGAAAATCTACGATAGTGACGTAGACGATACGTACCGTAACGCTACGATACGTTGCGCGTCGCGTTTGCCCCACCAGGAGGTCCATTTTCAGGTAGATGAGCCGCTGATGAAGCGTGGTCCGAACGGGACGTGGATCGAAAACCATCGGAGAGTGAAGCGTGCTCACTATCTTGGTGGATGGCTGCATGTTCTCGAGCCGACCGTCCTCGCTCCATTCGCTTTTACACCCTCAATTGGCGCTGGAATCCTCGGACCGCTCGTCTTCTCTCCTGGACTTTTCAAGTAAGTTTTTCGCGTTTCCGGAAGGAAAAAATCGCAAATAAACTGAAAAAAAAAAAGAAAAGAAAAGAAAATCGAAAAACCGCTACAAAATCGTTATTAGGAAAATCTGAATTTTTATATTAAATTAAGCACACTCTGTACTTTATAAATTTGTGTTTGTAACTTAATTTTTTAGTAAAAATGTTTCTGCCCTATTCTTTGCTATTATTACACGCAAAAACGCAAAAACACCGGTTTTTCGACCAAAATTTCGAATTTTAAAAATTTTACATTTTTTACGATAAATTTTCCGTTGAAATCTAGTTCTATTTTACAAAAAACACTAATAGGAACCCCCGCCCCCCCCCCGATAATGCAAAAGTGCCAAATACACTTTTAGTAACAGGTTTAAATCCAAGTCCAACCTTGCTCCTTGCCCCCCCCAGCTGGCACCCACCTACCGTATCTCGGCTCACTGTTCATCTACAGGTGTGTAAAGGATACAAAAATACTCGCCTGAGCAAGACGAACATTTTGGTATACTTTACACACCTGTAGATGAACAGGGAGCCGAGATACAAAAGTTGGGTGCCGGCTGGGGGGGGGGGGTAAACTGCACCCTAACCTTGAAGTCTTGTTAAAAATTAAAAACGCAAAAAATCGTGCAAATCCCCTTTTTTCAGTCCGGTCATCTTCAACCCGTCGATCGCCTCGCCGATGATCATGTCCCCAGGTATCGGCTACCCGTTCATCCTGTCCCCCTACATTTTCTCCTCCCAAATCATGAGCCCCCTCATCTGGGCCCCATATATTTTGACGCCCTATTTATTGGGGCCCAACATCATTACCCCGTATTTGATGTCGCCTGTCATTTTGTCGCCCATGCTTTTGTCTCCTGATCTCGTGTCGCCAATGGCACTCGGTGGGGCCGTCCTTTCGCCCACTATGCTCTCGCCGGCCGTGTTTTCCCCATCCGTTTTCATGGTTAGTATCATGTCACCGTCGTTTTTGAGCTGAACTGCCTGAACTTGTTGCCCTTTCTCACTCTTGCTCTGTCTCTCTCGCTCTCCCTCGTGCTCATTCCTTCTCTTTATCCCTCTATAGCTGTTTTTCTCATGCTTTCTCTAGATTTTTTATCTTTTTCTATCGCTCTCTTTCTCTCTTTAGTTCTGCCTCTCTAGTTCTCTCTCTCTCTCTCTCTCTCTCTCTCTCTATTTCTCTATAAGTTTATCTTTATCTCTCACTCTTAATCTCTCGTACTCTCTCGCTGTCTCTCTCGCTCTTGTTTCTCTCTCTCTCTTTTTCTTTCTCTTTCTCTCTATCTCTCTCTCTCTCGCTCTCTAGCCTCTTCTTGACCCCAACCATGAAAAGCAACGTTTAATAATCTGCACGTTTTTTTCAAACCATCGTTTAGTTAAATTTAATAAGCATCCAGATTCATTTATCTAACCCAGTCTTTCACTGATTTTTCTGACGCACTGCCACCAATCTTCGGGTACTTCTGCCATATGGATAAATTTTTCAATTACGGTCGCTCGAGAAAACAAGCTATAAGAACGCCCAACCACATGATTGGATGAAACCGTAGCCAGAGTATGGGCATGAGTCAGGATCTCATCAGTATACCAATCAAGTTCCGCAAAAATGACCTTAGCCAGATGGCATTGTAGCTGGTCCTGAAGATTTTTTGAAGCCTTCGGATGACGCTTTATTGGGATTCGCTATGTTGTCCAGCTTCAAGCTACGATGAAGCCGACTGCTGACATCAGTAGATGTTTATCGTAGGATATACCGTCATTTAAAGTCCTACGTCCTCTGGGTTCCTAGCGACGCCATCGTGTTCCGTGACAGCTTCACCGTACTTCCGGAAACGTGAATCACCAAGAATGGTACCTGAAAGATTTTAAACTCCGGAAAAAAGCCAGCCATCGCTAACGTATCTGAAGCATCCTGGATCAAACCGTTTCAAGGTCCGTAAAAGTGCCAGCTAGGGAAACCCGTACTTCGCGATTCTATCGACGTCTTTGATAGATGATGACGTCCACGCTTTTGGCCCTTTTCGCCAGAATCAAGATCTGCCAACCTTTGATAGTCATGACGCCTTGCAAGATCCTGAAATTTTGCACCGACGTCATCGCCCCCAGTCCAAAATCTGAACTTCAGCTTCATTTATAGCTCCGAGTCACCTCTTCCACAAAAGCATAAATTGAGGGGATGAGTCAACGTGTTTGCTTGGGGGGCCCACACCCATTTCATGCCCAGTTATCACCTTTCGGACGTTAAAAAGGGCCGCCGTCTGGGCAACACCGCACTTTCGGTTCTTCTCAGCTTCAGCAACCATGATTTGGCCCGTTTTTGCTGTTCTGCTGGCTTCAGGTATTGTAAAATTGCGCTATTTTTCCTTGGATTTTTGAAAATATCAGTTTAAACATCCCCCGATTAAATAAATGTAACGTTTTTACCATTGTGTTATTTTAAAAATAAAAATAACCGTCCCTTCTAGCAAACGCCGCCGATCCGATCACCTACCAGACCGACGTCACCCCCGATAACGCTGGATTCTATGGGGTAGAAGGGGCAGGTAAGGGAAAATTATCTATTAGAGATTAAAAACTATACTAAGAAAAAATTAGATAGAATTCCTGATGCAAATTCACACACTACAACAGCCTAAACCTTAAAACGCCAGAATTTTTCGATGTTATAGCTTTTTAAAGTCAAAAACTCATTCCGAACGTAACTTGGCCTATTAAATGATTGTAAATCGTCTTAAAATTCGCTAAATATCT